TGAACCGCACAACACATGGGCCGCTCTGGTTAAAGTTGGTACTAGATGTGGCCCAAATCGAGTGGGATCGATCATTGATCAAGACCACCTACTCATATTACAGTCGTACTAGGATTCTTGCACAGGGAACTCTTAAATAGTGTTAGGTTGTGTTTTGCGTTCTTGGTTTTGCACAAAACCGGACCATGACCTTTCCTGACCCAATTTCGTGCAGTTTGCCAAATAATCGCCTAGGCTATTCTTTAATTAAAATCGGACGAGGTTGGATCACGCTCTAATTTTTGCTGTTTTACGATAGAGGCTAAAACAAAGCCACAATCGGCCTGGTTTTATCAAAAGACTACTCTTTAACATCACATTCCATCGCGCTTTTCTCCGTACGCATCTCAATTCCATCAGAATTCAGACAGCCTGTCGGATTCAAATTTCAAAAACAAGGAAGCTCTTCGTGCTGTCCGAATAAAGACAAGAAAGCAGGCCAGCAAATAAGATCACTGAAAGGACTTGTCAAATCTTGAAGCAGTTACTGCAGCCCCATCGCTGTTGTCAAAGCCCACGCCACAATCAAAATATATACACATACAATAACAAACATATGTTCAAGTTTTTAGTTAAGGTCAGCGTCATTGAACCAAGAAAGATATAGCGTGTTCCTTGGCGGTCTTTTAAGCTCTAACCTAAACCGGTTAAACTAAGTCCAGCACAATCCAGATCATCTATTTTCTAGACTTCCTGTTTGGCTTCTGCATACATTTACAGGTCATCTCCTAGGACTAGAGCTTTTTCCTCAATCTCTTCGCCGTGTGAATGAAGCCCACGATTACCTGCACCTCATCCAGTTGCTTTTTTTTGCAATTCGGTCGAAAACAAAGAATCAACACGACGAAGACTGAAACCAAGACCAAGGATTAGTGAATCACGAATTGGAGATGATTGGTTACCTGAGATACAAAATGGTGCTGCACCATATGGACGAGCTCCTCCTTGGATGGGTTGGGGTTCAAGTTCACCTATGCCATTTGTTCATAGGAATTCCAATGTCAAATTATTGAAGAAAATATGTTTATTTGCCAAAAGTTGAAACGAGAGAACCCAGACTTCAGCAAGCAACGGAACTCACAAGGTTGAAGTGCTTCCAGTATCTCCACAAAGTTGAGGTCTCGAGTTTCGCCAGATTTACCCTCTGTCAACAAGTTATAATGAGAAGGAATTCTCAACAAAAGGGCAATTCAATCCACAATATTGACTTTCCTCTATAACCATCACATGTCCCAACACATTTATTTGGGGCTTAGTTTTATAACTGTAGTTAGCAGCACAAACGTGTTAATCACTTCAATGCATCATTAAATCCAATTTTTCCAGAGCATTCACCACAAAAATGACAATAAGCCTAAACTGAACAACACTTTATAAGGGTGTTTTTCGATATTAGCCCCTTATATCTTTAGTGTCTTGAAATTAGTCCATCAAATCATTGAAATTGATATTAGGTCTCCTGATTATCATATCGTGCTATTGCTGCTCTTGATTGGAGGGATTAATTTTAAACAACTTACAATAACTGAGGGACCTAATAGCAATTTGAATGATTTTTGAGAGACTAATTTTTAGACAACTTAGAAGAATTGGGGGACAGAACAGTTTTCCTATGATGAGGGACTAATTTCAATTTAGAAAGATTTAAGGGATTAATATCAAAACAACGCTACCTTTTAGGAATAAAAGACAACTAAGACGTATGATCGACAAACGATGAAGAAAAATAAAGAGGTAATTTCTTACCAAATGAGGCTTGTAATTATGGGTATGAGCATCTCTGATTCTGCCATTGGATTTAGTTGAAGATGCCCACGGCCTTGTATACCTTACCCTTGGCCTTGTTGGTTTCTGAAGCTCTATGCTAGCTGCTCGCAAAGAGAATCAAATGCAAAATTGTAAGTGTAGAATACATCAATGCAGACTGAAACTGACGTACACTTCAAACAATAAGACCACTGACTTACAGTAATCCAAGTCCTTGTCTATAATATCTGAACCACTACAGAAAGAGTTATCACAATCCATGTCATCATCATCATCTTCTTCTTCTTCGTTTCCAGTGGGTGGTTCTAACACACTCAAAGCATTCCTTTGCAGTTTCACCTCCACCCCATTCTTAAGGACCTGAAACAAATTAGGTAATTTGTGTTTATGCGTCAGGAGATGAATGAAGAACGTGGATCATAAGGGCAGTGTCCTCGTATAGTACTAATTGATTATGATTATATAATTAAAATAAGCCTAACAGCTAACTTACATATACCCAAAGCTAAATATGAAGTCTTGAATTTCATGAGAGAATAGCTTATTAATTTTCCAGAATTGATAAATTTTATTTGTTGAATAATTTAAAAGGATTAAACGATACAAGATTGCAATAGAACCCTATGCTTGACACATCAATTCTTCAAAATCAGACGTGAAAAGATGAAATACTCGTGACCAAGAAAACAAAATTTTAGTACAACTTTCAGGCCCAACAAATTAACCAATTCTAATCTTGTGAACCCTTGTCCCTAAACAAAGAAGCCTGACCAAGAAAACATAAATTTTAATACATCTTTCTGACCCAAGAAACAAACCAACGTTGATCTCGTGAACATTTTGAGTATCCAGACAAAAGGAACTTTTTTTTTAAACAAAAAGATAAAGATGGAACATATATAAGTCTTGAGTGAAATAGGTAAAAACCCGAACATGAAGAACAAAAGATTAATAAACCAAATCAGCACATCGATGAACTCTAATGAACTTCTGGAATGATGATTCACCACATACCAACCAGTGCCAACCACCAAGACCAACAGCTTTCTTCACAACACCTTGCAGCCCGACGAGAACAGACTTGGTTCTATTGTTACCAGTAACAATCACTTTAGTGTGCCTCGGAAGCACGGATAGCTCCTCATCACCACTTTCTTCCCTAGATGGTGAAAAAACACGTGAAGAGCAAAGCTCGGTCTCCATCATTTGCAAATGATATAATTCACCTTCCTGTTATCCAATCAACATGCAAAGACTGATTTAATCATAAATGACATGATACTTGTTAATGTGGTATCATGTACATAATAGCAATAAAAGGATCCTCTAGAACAAAATTTAATTCTAGTAGAGCCTAGCTAATGTAAAGCATTCCAAATTCAAAAGCTCCCTTAGTGAAAAGAGCATATCAGGTTCAACTGAATGATTTTTGTCAAGACCCACCAACTGGGAATTAAATATTAAAGGGACAATTGTGAAGGCTTGATACATGTTACCAGAAACAGACAGTCAAGAGATAAAGGTTAAGAAGTTTAAATGGAGAACATACATATTTTCTCTTATACTTTTATGGTTATTATGCCAGTATGTTCAGCTATTACTTCGATTTGTTTTTTTCCATGTATACCACACAATTTCTAACAGATCTTTAAACAGAATTATTGTCAAAAGATCTATAAATTTAATACATCTAATATAACAACAAATTCTAAAATTTTCACAATAACACTTGTAATATATTATGTCCGGTTGGTGGGTTTAGACAAAATTAAATCTTCCCTGTTATGGTCCTTATGGACTTCCAAATGATAAAGCTTGCGAAGGAATTTCAAATGAAAAATCAGTATCTTTCTCCTACAATTATATTGTTATTATGACACTACGTTCAGTTATTATTTCGACTCGTTTACTTCTCCAATAACCACTCAATTTCTAGCAAAATCTTTGGGCACAATAGTAGATCAATAGATCTTTATAGTTTATACACAGCTATAAAGCGACGATCCACAGCCAAGATAAAGCCCTTTGATTGGCCTGATCCATGAATAAAGATAGCAAAATGAGACCAATCCTGAAAAGCGATTGCAAAATGAGACGAAAATTCAACACCACAAGGATCCACGAAATTAAAAATTATTGCCCTCAGAGTATCTGATGAGTGTATCCGCACCAACCGACAAGAAAGCGAGCGTTTATTACTAGCGTATCATAATCATAACTCTTAACTACCGAGAATTATCCCAAAAGAGTTGAGGTAATTATACTCGGTAACAATTTACCTAATTTTGATCTCCAATCCAGGCAAAATTCAAATTCAGAGCGGCTACCTCCAATAAGCTCCAGCTGTCAAAAAATCAAAAGAAAAAAAGTGTACCCTAAGTTCCCGTTGCGGTTTCTTTAAACAAAAAAACAAATTAATGAAACAAAGAAAGCAAATTTCAACTTATTATGCTCAGATAAATACACGGTTAACGAAATTAGTATAATTTACCAATTTAAGTAAGCAAATTCAGACGCTCACAATCAAACCGTAAAAGATAAAACTGCTAATGTTTAGCTAGGCTCGAAAGTCATTCAAAATGAATCAATTTGATAACCTAGAATCTTTCAACAACAACAAAAATAACCAGGCGCTTTATTTAAACGAAGAGATTTCAATTTCAATTGTATGAAATAAGCGATTACAAAGTAAACTGGATACAAATCATGCAATCAAACTACACCTTTTCAAAAAATAAAAATAAAAAAGAAATCTTTTAACTACGACCGGACTCTAATAATTCAGTTATAAATTTCCATCTAAATCATTACGAAAACAGTTGAGGGAAATAGAAACCAACCCAAAAATTAGAATGTACGAGCGAAATTAAGCAAGAAAACAGGAAAATCGAAATGCATGCGACTAAGCATCATAATTTCATCAACGGATAACAGATCTCACTCGAATTTCAGCGCGCAAGGGCAACTGAAGCACTCGAAGTGGAAACACAGTCAAATTGAAGGTTCAAACCTCAATGGAACACAAAAATACAATAAAAAAATTAAAATTTCAAAGTTGAGAAATTACTACCACTGGGGATTTCCCCAATCTGAAGGCTCATTTCAAAATGCGGCGGTTTTGAGCTGTCGAGATTGGGAAGCAGAGGATTTACGCTATTGGAGTCGAGAATTTCGACCCAAATTGGACGTCGATCGGTAGATCCGAGTGAATTTAGAGGCTGAGATCGAGAGTTGGAGAGGGCGAGTGACGGGGGAAATTAGGGTTTTTTTTCCGACTTCGTTGGTTTGGGAAGGGGAAGCAAGCGGCAGAGGAGAGCAAAAGAGAGAGTTTTATTGAAGAACGAGAAGAGGAGGGAAGAGCTCTAGAGAGAGAAAGTGAGAGAGAGAGAGAGGAGAGAGAAAGCGCAGTAAATGCTGTCCAACTGCCAAGTGAGACAAGGTCCTGTCTTTTCCATTTCTAACGTACGGGTCTTGAAAATTTTGATTGCAATTTCCAACAATGCCCTTTCTTTTTCTTTTTTTCCCTTCCCTTTCTAAATAAAAACTAGCGTTATAATAATAATAATAATAATAATTAAACAGTTGTTTAATTCTAACCATCTATTAATATTAAGTACGTGAAACTTACAAGTGAGGTTGCATGCGTTGATGCATTCTATTTTAGTTTTAGAAACTCTTCCATATGTAGAATTGGCGTGAATAACATTAACGACTTAAGTAACTAAAGCGTTTGGTAACCGTGACGTTTTTATCATTTCTATTTTTTTAAACAAAAACAAAGAAACGTGTTTGGCAACCGGGACGTTTTTTTGACTTGTCCCTTTACAAAATCTAAAAATTAAACATTTTTATCAAAACACCAAAAATGTGTTTTGAGATTCCGTTTTTTCATCTAAGCCGCCGCCGTAATCGTAAATAGACGGAGTTTGAAACGTGAGAAGTGCAGTCTAAAACAAAACTGCCTGACGGTGTAGTGTTTCTGAGACAGCATTTACTGTCCGCGGGTCGAAGACAAGCAAAATATTTCTCGCCCTCGAGACAGCAACACCTGTCTCGCCAGCCGAGAGCACGAAATGGCTGTCTCGGGATGCCTGTTTCACCAACTGTCCTATGGTTATAATCTCCCCGAAGAGCTAATTTGAGAGAGGCTGATCATTTTTGAGAGCACTTCAGGCAGAGATGTGACAGAGTACTCAAGTCGGCAACTCTCCATTGGATATCAGCTTTGACTTGATTTCAAGAGAACGACTATCTTACATTGATAGATATCGTTTCAAGTTCTCCACTCTCGATAAAGCGAAGTCAGAATCATAACACCCCTCACGATTCAAATTAGAATCTGTGATCTTGGTGGCCACGAGTCCAATAGGCTCGTCCATGCAGCGGCACAGATCCCACCAAGTAGCGATCCAAACAACGACCTGCGTTGTTTCTCAAGAGTTGTAATCATTTTGTGTGTAAAGAGTCTTTATAAAAAGCTATCTCTTTTGAATTTATGTAATCGACCGCGAAGATATATGAATTCCATGACAAAAACAACTTTTGACGCAAACAAGTCGGTCGGGGCGTGGCAGACTGTACGTGCGACGAGCGGGTGCGCGGTGGCTGGCCAACGGGGCAGGTGGCGGTGGACTGGTGGGTCTCGGCACCGTGGTGACGATGGTGGCGGGTGGTGACGACGTCGGGTGGAGTGGCCGGCGCCCGCTGTTCGGGCGAGACGTACCGAGGAGCGGGCGACTGTGGCGACGTACGTGCGGCGGGTGTAGCTTACGCAGACGGCGGCGACCGGACGACTAGGCGGCGTATCCCAGGGGTGCGATGTGGTAGCGACGACCGGGGTACGCGGTAGCGGCAACGCACGGGCGAGCGTATCTGCGGGGTGCGATGGGTAGGCGACGACGGGTAGCGTAGGCGGCAACAGGACAGGCGGCGTCGTCCATGACGAGAGGTCCACAATTGAACGATCAAACCTTTAAACAGTTAGGGATGTCTCAATTATCTGGTCAAACCTTTAACCGTTGAGGACCAAAGCCAACATCCCTCCGACTTCGTTCATGAACGAGAGGTCCAAAATTGAACGATCAAACCTTTAAACAGTTAGGATCGTCTCAAATTCCCACTTGGTCAACCTTTAAACAGTTAGGAGCCAAAGCCAAAATCTCCTCTGATTCGTTCCATGGAACAGAGAGGTCCACCATTGAACGTGCAACTTTAAATAGTTAGGATCGTCTCAATCCATTTGGTCAAACCTTAACAGTTTAGGGACGCAAAGCAAAATCTCCTTCGATTCGTTCCATGAGCAGAGTCCACAAATTGAACGATCAACCCTTTAAACAGTTCGGCATCGTCTCAGAAGTTCCATCTTGGTCAAACCTTAAACATTAGGCCGGCAAGCCAAAATCTCCTTCTCGATTCGTGCCATGAACGAGGAGGTCCACAAATGTGAACGATCAAACGACTTTAAACAGTTTGCGTCTCAAATCATCTTGGTCAAACCTTTGAAACAGGTAGGACCAAAGCCAAATTCCTGCTCCGGTTGGTTCCATGAACGAGAGGTCCACCAAATTTGAATCGATCAAAACTTAACCAGTTAGGATCGGTCTCAAATTCGCCATCTTGGTCAATACTTTAAACAGTTGAGGACCAAAGCCAAAATCTCCTCTCGATCGTTCCATGAAGCGAGAGGTCCACAATTGAACGATCAAACGCTTAACAGTAGGATTGCGTCTCAAATTCTCATCTGTGGTCAACTTTAAACAGTTAGGACCAAAGCAAAAATCTCCTCTCGATTCGCCATGAACGAGAGGTCCACAAATTGAACGACATCAAACTTTAAAGCAGTTAGGATGCGTCTCAAATTCCGCATCTTGGTCATACTTTAACCAGTTAGGACCAAAGCCAAATCTCCCTCTCAGATTCGTCATGAGACGAGAGGTCCCCAAATTGAGCGATCAAAACTTCCTAACAGTTATGGATGTCTCAAACCCCACTTGGTCCAAAACCTTACTCAGTTAGGACCGACAACCAAAATTCCTTTCGATTCATTTTGCGAACTGAAGGTCCACTTTTGAATTGAGTAATCAAACCTTATGACAGTTAGATATTCAAACCAGTCCAGAATTCTTCCTTTTGCACCAGGAGATAGAATATAAAGATTCTTCGCCTCCGATTTCGGGTTCATCTTACCAACAAACAAGAGACAGGAGATAGAATATAAAATTCTTCCCTCTCTCGATTTCGGGTCATCTCTAACAATAAACAAGAGACGAGGAGATTAGAATATAAACATTCTTCCCTCCGGATTTCGGGGTTCATCTCTAGGTCCAACAAACAAGAGACAGTGAACAGAATATAAATTCTTCCCTTCCATCATCTAGGGTTATCTCTAGCCAACAAAAAGAGCCGGGCAGGAGATGGAATAATAAAATTCTTCCTCTTCGGATTCGGGTACTCTACCAATTAAAAAGGAGACAGAATACTCCAATAGGTAACGAGTTAAACTGTTTTCCTACCCTCACAGGAAAGTTTCTGGAAATATTACTCAGAATATTCTTAAGATAACCTGAATACTCCAATAGGTACACAGTCTAAACTGTTTCACTCCATCAACAGGAAGTTTCTGGAGAATATCACCAAATATTCTTAAGAATAACCTGGCTTACTCCCAACCGGTCATATGAGGTTAAACTCATTTCCATGAACACTCAATAAAGTATTTAACTATCTCTAGCAGATAGCGTTCTAATCAAGCACTTCACCACGGTCACGCGATGAACGCAGCACCGGAGGAATTTTAGCTATTCTACAAAGCACTGACTAGGTTTTAAAAAGATGATGAAGTCAAGAGTTGAAGCCATTTATGGGTCGCTTCCGCTATGATCTCGCTCATCAAGGCTTTGACGGATTGAGATAAAATCGTCCTTCCAAAGTATCCCAGGAACTCTTCTATAAAAGTGAATGAGTTGAATACTTTGCAGGGTCAGGGTAGCCGTCAAAAAATGCTGAGATATCCAAAGCATAGGGAAACCACTCAAACTGACAACTCAAAACTGACAGATATGAACTGTCTCGCCAGCGAGACAGACTTTGGCTGTCTCGCGAGCGAGACACGTCGTTTGCTGTCGTGCAGGCGAGACAGTATTTTCTGTCTCGCCAGGGGCGAGACAGTATCGCTGTCTCGCCAGCGAACAAGACTTTGCTGTCTCGCCAGGAGAACAGTGTTTGCTGTCTCGCGCAACGGACAACTTTGCTGTCTCGCGCACCGAGACAGGTGTTTTGCTGTCATCTGCGCAGCCGAGACAGACTTGACTGTCTCGCCAGCGAACAGCTTTGAGATGGTGCAAAACCACCCTTGAAAGGACCCACGAACGTGGCGCACTACTGTTTAAGAACGTGGGGAAACGTGTGTTTTGGGCGAGAATCCGCGATTGATGTAATCGTAAATAGACGGAGTTTGAAACGTGAGAAGTGCAGTCTAAAACAAAACTGCCTGACGGTGTAGTGTTTCTGAGACAGCATTTACTGTCCGCGGGTCGAAGACAAGCAAAATATTTCTCGCCCTCGAGACAGCAACACCTGTCTCGCCAGCCGAGAGCACGAAATGGCTGTCTCGGGATGCCTGTTTCACCAACTGTCCTATGGTTATAATCTCCCCGAAGAGCTAATTTGAGAGAGGCTGATCATTTTTGAGAGCACTTCAGGCAGAGATGTGACAGAGTACTCAAGTCGGCAACTCTCCATTGGATATCAGCTTTGACTTGATTTCAAGAGAACGACTATCTTACATTGATAGATATCGTTTCAAGTTCTCCACTCTCGATAAAGCGAAGTCAGAATCATAACACCCCTCACGATTCAAATTAGAATCTGTGATCTTGGTGGCCACGAGTCCAATAGGCTCGTCCATGCAGCGGCACAGATCCCACCAAGTAGCGATCCAAACAACGACCTGCGTTGTTTCTCAAGAGTTGTAATCATTTTGTGTGTAAAGAGTCTTTATAAAAAGCTATCTCTTTTGAATTTATGTAATCGACCGCGAAGATATATGAATTCCATGACAAAAACAACTTTTGACGCAAACAAGTCGGTCGGGGCGTGGCAGACTGTACGTGCGACGAGCGGGTGCGCGGTGGCTGGCCAACGGGGCAGGTGGCGGTGGACTGGTGGGTCTCGGCACCGTGGTGACGATGGTGGCGGGTGGTGACGACGTCGGGTGGAGTGGCCGGCGCCCGCTGTTCGGGCGAGACGTACCGAGGAGCGGGCGACTGTGGCGACGTACGTGCGGCGGGTGTAGCTTACGCAGACGGCGGCGACCGGACGACTAGGCGGCGTATCCCAGGGGTGCGATGTGGTAGCGACGACCGGGGT